GCCTGGAGTGTGTCTATTCGTAGGGCCTGGAGTGTGTCTATTCGTAGGGCCTGGAGTGTGTCTATTCGTAGGGCCTGGAGTGTGTCTATTCGTAGGGCCTGGAGTGTGTATATTCGTAGGGCCTGGAGTGTGTCTATTCGTAGGGCCTGGAGTGTGTCTATTCGTAGGGCCTGGAGTGTGTATATTCGTAGGGCCTGGAGTGTGTATATTCGTAGGGCCTGGAGTGTGTCTATTCGTAGGGCCTGGAGTGTGTATATTCGTAGGGCCTGGAGTGTGTCTATTCGTAGGGCCTGGAGTGTGTCTATTCGTAGGGCCTGGAGTGTGTCTATTCGTAGGGCCTGGAGTGTGTCTATTCGTAGGGCCTGGAGTGTGTCTATTCGTAGGGCCTGGAGTGTGTCTATTCGTAGGGCCTGGAGTGTGTCTATTCGTAGGGCCTGGAGTGTGTATATTCATAGGGCCTGGAGTGTGTCTATTCGTAGGGCCTCGAGTGTGTATATTCGTAGGGCCTGGAGTGTGTATATTCGTAGGGCCTGGAGTGTGTATATTCGTAGGGCCTGGAGTGTGTCTATTCGTAGGGCCTGGAGTGTGTCTATTCGTAGGGCCTGGAGTGTGTCTATTCGTAGGGCCTGGAGTGTGTCTATTCGTAGGGCCTGGAGTGTGTCTATTCGTAGGGCCTGGAGTGTGTCTATTCGTAGGGCCTGGAGTGTGTCTATTCGTAGGGCCTGGAGTGTGTATATTCGTAGGGCCTGGAGTGTGTATATTCGTAGGGCCTGGAGTGTGTCTATTCGTAGGGCCTGGAGTGTGTCTATTCGTAGGGCCTGGAGTGTGTCTATTCGTAGGGCCTGGAGTGTGTCTATTCGTAGGGCCTGGAGTGTGTCTATTCGTAGGGCCTGGAGTGTGTCTATTCGTAGGGCCTGGAGTGTGTATATTCATAGGGCCTGGAGTGTGTCTATTCGTAGGGCCTGGAGTGTGTCTATTCGTAGGGCCTGGAGTGTGTATATTCGTAGGGCCTGGAGTGTGTATATTCGTAGGGCCTGGAGTGTGTATATTCGTAGGGCCTGGAGTGTGTCTATTCGTAGGGCCTGGAGTGTGTCTATTCGTAGGGCCTGGAGTGTGTATATTCGTAGGGCCTGGAGTGTGTATATTCGTAGGGCCTGGAGTGTGTATATTCGTAGGGCCTGGAGTGTGTCTATTCGTAGGGCCTGGAGTGTGTCTATTCGTAGGGCCTGGAGTGTGTCTATTCGTAGGGCCTGGAGTGTGTATATTCGTAGGGCCTGGAGTGTGTATATTCGTAGGGGCTGGAGTGTGTATATTCGTAGGGCCTGGAGTGTGTCTATTCGTAGGGCCTGGAGTGTGTCTATTCGTAGGGCCTGGAGTGTGTATATTCGTAGGGCCTGGAGTGTGTATATTCGTAGGGCCTGGAGTGTGTATATTCGTAGGGCCTGGAGTGTGTCTATTCGTAGGGCCTGGAGTGTGTCTATTCGTAGGGCCTGGAGTGTGTCTATTCGTAGGGCCTGGAGTTTGTCTATTCGTAGGGCCTGGAGTGTGTCTATTCGTAGGGCCTGGAGTGTGTCTATTCGTAGGGCCTGGAGTGTGTCTATTCGTAGGGCCTGGAGTGTGTCTATTCGTAGGGCCTGGAGTGTGTCTATTCGTAGGGCCTGGAGTGTGTCTATTCGTAGGGCCTGGAGTGTGTATATTCGTAGGGCCTGGAGTGTGTCTATTCGTAGGGCCTGGAGTGTGTATATTCGTAGGGCCTGGAGTGTGTATATTCGTAGGGCCTGGAGTGTGTCTATTCGTAGGGCCTGGAGTGTGTCTATTCGTAGGGCCTGGAGTGTGTCTATTCGTAGGGCCTGGAGTGTGTCTATTCGTAGGGCCTGGAGTGTGTCTATTCGTAGGGCCTGGAGTGTGTATATTCGTAGGGCCTGGAGTGTGTATATTCGTAGGGCCTGGAGTGTGTCTATTCGTAGGGCCTGGAGTGTGTCTATTCGTAGGGCCTGGAGTGTGTCTATTCGTAGGGCCTGGAGTGTGTCTATTCGTAGGGCCTGGAGTGTGTCTATTCGTAGGGCCTGGAGTGTGTATATTCATAGGGCCTGGAGTGTGTCTATTCGTAGGGCCTCGAGTGTGTATATTCGTAGGGCCTGGAGTGTGTCTATTCGTAGGCCTGGAGTGTTAGGCCTGGAGTGTGTATATTCGTAGGGCCTGGAGTGTGTATATTCGTAGGGCCTGGAGTGTGTATATTCGTAGGGCCTGGAGTGTGTCTATTCGTAGGGCCTGGAGTGTGTCTATTCGTAGGGCCTGGAGTGTGTCTATTCGTAGGGCCTGGAGTGTGTCTATTCGTAGGGCCTGGAGTGTGTCTATTCGTAGGGCCTGGAGTGTGTCTATTCGTAGGGCCTGGAGTGTGTCTATTCGTAGGGCCTGGAGTGTGTCTATTCGTAGGGCCTGGAGTGTGTCTATTCGTAGGGCCTGGAGTGTGTCTATTCGTAGGGCCTGGAGTGTGTATATTCGTAGGGCCTGGAGTGTGTCTATTCGTAGGGCCTGGAGTGTGTATATTCGTAGGGCCTGGAGTGTGTATATTCGTAGGGCCTGGAGTGTGTCTATTCGTAGGGCCTGGAGTGTGTCTATTCGTAGGGCCTGGAGTGTGTCTATTCGTAGGGCCTGGAGTGTGTCTATTCGTAGGGCCTGGAGTGTGTATATTCGTAGGGCCTGGAGTGTGTCTATTCGTAGGGCCTGGAGTGTGTATATTCGTAGGGCCTGGAGTGTGTATATTCGTAGGGCCTGGAGTGTGTCTATTCGTAGGGCCTGGAGTGTGTCTATTCGTAGGGCCTGGAGTGTGTCTATTCGTAGGGCCTGGAGTGTGTCTATTCGTAGGGCCTGGAGTGTGTATATTCGTAGGGCCTGGAGTGTGTCTATTCGTAGGGCCTGGAGTGTGTATATTCGTAGGGCCTGGAGTGTGTATATTCGTAGGGCCTGGAGTGTGTATATTCGTAGGGCCTGGAGTGTGTCTATTCGTAGGGCCTGGAGTGTGTCTATTCGTAGGGCCTGGAGTGTGTCTATTCGTAGGGCCTGGAGTGTGTCTATTCGTAGGGCCTGGAGTGTGTCTATTCGTAGGGCCTGGAGTGTGTCTATTCGTAGGGCCTGGAGTGTGTCTATTCGTAGGGCCTGGAGTGTGTATATTCGTAGGGCCTGGAGTGTGTATATTCGTAGGGCCTGGAGTGTGTATATTCGTAGGGCCTGGAGTGTGTATATTCGTAGGGCCTGGAGTGTGTCTATTCGTAGGGCCTGGAGTGTGTCTATTCGTAGGGCCTGGAGTGTGTCTATTCGTAGGGCCTGGAGTGTGTCTATTCGTAGGGCCTGGAGTGTGTATATTCGTAGGGCCTGGAGTGTGTCTATTCGTAGGGCCTGGAGTGTGTCTATTCGTAGGGCCTGGAGTGTGTATATTCGTAGGGCCTGGAGTGTGTATATTCGTAGGGCCTGGAGTGTGTCTATTCGTAGGGCCTGGAGTGTGTCTATTCGTAGGGCCTGGAGTGTGTCTATTCGTAGGGCCTGGAGTGTGTCTATTCGTAGGGCCTGGAGTGTGTCTATTCGTAGGGCCTGGAGTGTGTATATTCATAGGGCCTGGAGTGTGTCTATTCGTAGGGCCTGGAGTGTGTATATTCGTAGGGCCTGGAGTGTGTCTATTCGTAGGGCCTGGAGTGTGTCTATTCGTAGGGCCTGGAGTGTGTATATTCGTAGGGCCTGGAGTGTGTATATTCGTTGGGCCTACAGTGTGTCTATTCGTAGGGCCTGGAGTGTGTCTATTCGTAGGGCCTGGAGTGTGTCTATTCGTAGGGCCTGGAGTGTGTCTATTCGTAGGGCCTGGAGTGTGTCTATTCGTAGGGCCTGGAGTGTGTCTATTCGTAGGGCCTGGAGTGTGTCTATTCGTAGGGCCTGGAGTGTGTCTATTCGTAGGGCCTGGAGTGTGTCTATTCGTAGGGCCTGGAGTGTGTCTATTCGTAGGGCCTGGAGTGTGTCTATTCGTAGGGCCTGGAGTGTGTCTATTCGTAGGGCCTGGAGTGTGTCTATTCGTAGGGCCTGGAGTGTGTCTATTCGTAGGGCCTGGAGTGTGTCTATTCGTAGGGCCTGGAGTGTGTCTATTCGTAGGGCCTGGAGTGTGTCTATTCGTAGGGCCTGGAGTGTGTCTATTCGTAGGGCCTGGAGTGTGTCTATTCGTAGGGCCTGGATCGTAGGGCCTGAGTGTGTCTATTCGTAGGGCCTGGAGTGTTCGTAGGGCCTGGAGTGTGTCTATTCGTAGGGCCTGGAGTGTGTCTATTCGTAGGGCCTGGAGTGTGTCTATTCGTAGGGCCTGGAGTGTGTCTATTCGTAGGGCCTGGAGTGTGTCTATTCGTAGGGCCTGGAGTGTGTCTATTCACACTTCCTGGAGTTCACGCCCAGGCTCTGACCAGGCGTGGTGGGGCTAGAGCGGGCGGCATGGGAATGGTGTGCGACCGGGTGCGAGGAGAAGGAGAGACAAGGGGTGAGTGAGAGAGACAAGGCGTGCTGGGAGGAGTGTGAGAGGGAAATGGAAGAGAACGCCAGAGAAATTGGCAGACGAACTGGCCTCTCCTCCCCACCTCCCCCACTCCACCTTGACCTCTCCCCCATCCGAACTCTCCCTCACCCCCCACTTCTCTCCCCTCCTACCGTCAGTGCCCCATCCCATCTACCCACTACCTCTCCCTCTTTCCTCCCCTCACACCTCTTCCCCCCCACCTCCCATTCCCCCTTTCCGCACCTTCCTGCTGTTTCGCCATGGCTTCCACTGCAGCGCGCGAGGCATCAATGCGGGCAAGGGCAGCACGCAGGGAGGCGAGCAGTCCACTGTTTGTAGGCTCTCCCCCATCCCATCCCCCTCTCAACCCCCACTTTTCTCCCTTCCTACCGCCACTGCCCCATCCCACCTCCCCCCCACCTCTCCCCCAACTTCCCCTCTTCTCCCTGCCCCCCCTCCCCCCCTTGCGCACCTTCCTGTTGTTTCGCCATGGCTTCCACTGCAGCGCGCGAGGCATCGATGCGGGCAAGGGCAGCACGCAGCGAGGCGAGGGAGTCGCTGAGCATTTTCACCTCGCCCTCCACCTGCTCTCGGATCTGCCGCACCTGCTCCACTGGTAGACGCGGAATGTCCTTTACCGATATCTGTGGGCAGGGCGAGGAGTGGGGCGGGGTGGAACAGGGGCGGGGAACGCAGTGGGGCACGATGGCATGGCTTCACCTCGCCCTCCACCTGCTCTCGGATCTGCCGCACCTGCTCCACTGGCAGCCGCGGGATGTCCTTCACTGATATCTGTGGGCAGGGCGGGGCAAGGCGGAGGGAGGCACAACACGGCCGAGGGGGACATGAGAGGGCGGAGGGGGAAAGGCAGGGCACAGGGAGGCGAGGGAGTTGGCGAGCATCTTCACCTCGCCCTCCACCTGCTCTCGGATCTGCTGCACCTGCTCCACTGGCAAACGCGGAATGTCCTTCACTGATACCTGCCGTGAGAATGGGGTGCAGTGGGGGAGGGAATGGGGCGCAGTGGGGGAGGGAATGGGGCGCAGTGGGGGAGGGAATGGGGTGCAGTGGGGGAGGGAATGGGGCGCAATGGGGGAGGGAATGGGCGCAGTGGGGGGAGGGGGGCGGGCAGTAGGGCATGGCACGACAGGGCATCAATGCCGTGCTCCACCAGCAGGTGCGGGATGTCATTCATCGGTACATGCGGTGAGCATGGGATGCAACGGATGCGCGGAGGGGCGCATGGGATCGATGGCGTGCGACGGCGAGACGCCGCTCAATGCGCTCAGCGGAAATTGCGGGATGCCCTTCAGCGCCACGAGCGCGCACGGCGAGGCGTCGTGGGGCGACGCGGGGCGATATAATGGCACGGCAGGCAACGCAATTTCATGAGATCGCGTGCTACAGATTGGCGCGAATGGCGCGAGTGGGGAACAGCAGCACGAACGGCTCACCTGCGTGGGCCCTAGCTGCTGCTGCTCCGCCATGCCGGCTCAAGCTGCTGCCCTCCCCGCTGTTACGATCCGCCCCGCGCCCTCTGCCGCTCCTAGCGCGACTCGCAGCAACCACGTGGCAGTCGCACCGCGCGAGGCAAGATCGGAGGGCCGAGGGGCACGGTGCGAGAATTGAGGGTGGAGGGGCGGGAGAGACGTTGACGGAGACGACGCACCGGTTGCGGCGACTACAAAGAGCTCGCTGGATGGCGCGTTGAAACTTGAAACGAGGGAATTTAATCGCTCAATCTGAAGACGCGACGCGGCGGGCACTGGAATGGGCAGGATCTGATGGATTTGAATGAGAAGCTCTGTGTGGGATGAATGGGTGCGCTTGCTTTGCTTTGCAAGTTCGACATCGATCGAGGTGGTAGAAACAAAGAATTCATGTTGAGACATGTTTGTAGGAGCTACATTGCTGGAAGTGCTGCACCCGATATTGCTAGTAACGCGTACACCCTCAGCTCTGGTTCCGTCTTGTTCACGAGCCTGAGTCACGGACCTGCTTTGGGAATTCGAAGCTGCAAACCAGTTTCGCCAAGGTATTGTTTTCTGAAGGCGCTTTTCACCTCCTTCAGAGACGTTGGGCCTTGGGCCTTGTGTGCGCGAGCGGCGTTCAGGGAGTCTCGTGCGCCTCGCCGTGCCATCCGTCGCCGCGCTGCCTTGTCTCACACGAAACGCGGCGCCGGGCACGCTCTCGTCGCGCCGTGTTGGATCCACTTTTAGAGAAACGTCGTTGCTTCTAGTCTCCGGCTCTTGCCGTCCTCGTCCCCACCGCCGCCACCCGTTCCCTCGCGCGGCGCCACCAGCATCATGTGGCGGGTGGCGTGTCGCGAGGCGCGCAAGCAGGTCGCGTCGCTGACCCATGGGCCCGCGTGTCGCGGCGCGCACGGCGCGCCCGCGCCGGGTGGTCCTTATCCGCAGCATTCCCTCGCGCACGCCGCCCCGCCCTCCGCCGCCACGCCGCATCACGCTCGCCTCATCCCATCGCTCGTCGCCCCTCACGGCCCCGCATCCCTCACCGCCAACGCGACGCGCATCGGCGCATGGCGGCACGCGTCACCCCTCGCGCTCGCGGTCACCTCCCCCTCGCTCTCCGCCCTCCGCTCCGCAGTCACGCACTCCTCCGCCAGCCTCTCTTCCGCCACCCTCTCCGCCGCCGCCTCTCTGCCAGCCGCAGCCCGCGCGAGCCTCACCGTCCCCGCGGCAGGCGCGGCGGCCGGCCGGGCGGCAGGCGTGAGCGTGTGGAAGCACTACGGGCGCTGCTACTACGAGCTCAGCAAGACGCGGTTGAGGTGGGTGGGGCGCGGCTCAGGTGGGCGCGACGCGACTCAGGTGGGGGGGCGCGCATGCGGAGGCGGGGAGCTGAAACGTCCCGCTGCTGTGGATGTGAAGATGACGCCTTTTCCGTTGCTCTCTCGTGTGCCTCGCGCGTAGCGTCCACCCGCTGTAAACATCTTCCATTGCGTACAGCATTCCCTCTATTCCCTCTCCTCCCTCTCTCGCTCACCGCCTGCCTCCCGCCCCCTGCACTTGTCAACCCTTCCTGTCTCCCGACCCCATGCGCGCGTGGCGTCCTCCCCTGGCTGCTCACCCCCCAGCCTGCTGGTGGTGGCGACAGCAGCAGCGGGGTTTGTGATGGGGAGTGGCGACCACGTTGACTGGGCGGGGCAGGACTTGCATGGACTTCACTTCACTCCTGCCCCCCTGTGCCCCTTACTCCCTGCCTCCGTCTCTCGCTCCCCTGTGCGCCTCGCATCCCCCAGCCTGCTGGTGGTGGCGACGGCAGCAGCGGGGTTTGTGATGGGGAGTGGCGACCACGTTGACTGGGCGGGGCAGGACTTGCATGGACTTCACTTCACTCCTGCCCCCCTGTGCCCCTTACTCCCTGCCTCCGTCTCTCGCTCCCCTGTGCGCCTCGCATCCCCCAGCCTGCTGGTGGTGGCGACGGCAGCAGCGGGGTTTGTGATGGGGAGTGGCGACCACGTTGACTGGGCGGGACTTGGATGGACCTCGCTCGGAACCTTCCTCGCAGCTGCCTCCGCCAACACATGGAACCAGGTGTGGCTGCAAAGTGGCCATGCTGTCTGATGGCCTTGCTGCTTGCCGTGCCTCTCACCTCTCTCACCTCTCGTCGCCCGTATTCATTGTGCATTACTCACCCTTGCCTTGCCCTTTCGCACTACTGCTTGCCTCCTTGCTGCTGCACCGCACGTACTCTCGAGACCCATTCCCCCTTCCCATGCCCCTGCTGTGCCAGCCAGTGCCTTTCCATGCCATCGCTCCCCCCTGTGCATGTGGTCCCAGGTGTACGAGGTGGCGAACGATGCCCTGATGAAGCGCACGCGGGGCAGGCCGCTGCCAGCAGGGCGGATGACCCGCCAGCACGCCATCGCATGGGGGCTGCTCACTGGGGCCAGCGGCCTCGCCATCCTTGCAACCCAGGTGTGGTGTGCGGTGCAGTCTGGTGTTGTCACCCCGCATGCAATGCAGTGCAGTCAGCACCAGCAGGGCGGATGACCCGCCAGCACGCCATCGCATGGGAGCTGCTCACCGGTGCCAGCGGCCTCGTCATCCTCGCTTCTCAGGTGTTGTATGCGGTGCAGTCAGGTAATGCAATGCAATAGCATCAGCAGGTCGCCACGTTGCCGCATCTCTCCATCAACCCACCTTCTGGTTGGCCCCTCTTTCCCCTCCCTGCTCGTGTGCATGCGTGCAGACCAACAGCATGACAGCGGGCCTGGGAGCCGCCAACATAGCGCTGTACGCGGGGGTGTACACGCCTCTCAAGCAGCTGCACATCGCCAACACATGGGTTGGTGCTGTCGTCGGCGCCATCCCGCCTCTTATGGGGTGAGAACTTGGAGGCATGGCGATGATCGTGATGCCGTTAATGGTGGTGCTGTTGGTGGTGATAATCATGACAGTGATGTGATGGGGATGACGGTTAAGAGGGTGATGGCAAGATGGGGCAGGGTGGGGAAATGGCAGGGCAGCACATGGGGGTTGGTCTACGGTTGGGAATAGGCAGGCAGGCAGGCAGGTGACCTGCTCACTTCACATCTCTCATCCCCTCTCTCATCTATTCTCACCCTTCCCTGCATGTCATAATCCCCCACCCCCCTCCCCCCTCCTTCCCTTCCCCCATCCCTCCCCCCCTTGTGTGCTGCAGGTGGGCGGCGGCGAGTGGGGGGTTGGATGCGGGGGCAGCAGTGCTGGCAGGGGCGCTGTACCTGTGGCAGATGCCGCACTTCCTTGCTCTCGCCTGGCTGTGCCGCAAGGACTATGCTGCCGGGGGGTGAGTGAAGGGTGAAGGGGCTGACAATGCTGCAGGGGGTATGTGTGGGGGGCCACTCAGCACATGCGGGCCTGGAGTGAGGGGCGGGAATGGGGGGCAGCAGTGCTGGCAGGAGCGCTGTACCTCGGCAAATGCCGCACTTCCAGGGGTTGAGTGAAAGGGGTGGGGGGAAGGAGAGGGTTGACCGTTGACCATGCTGTGGGGGGGTATGTGTGTGGGGGGTATGTGTGTGGGGGGGTATGTGTGTGGGGGGTATGTGTGTGGGGGGGCTGATAATGCTACAGGGGGGTGTGTGACGGGTGGGTGGGAGGAAGGGGTTGACCATGTTCTGGGGGGGTATGCGTGTGGGGGGGACGACACAAGCAGGGCTGCACACTGCCTTATCCTCGTCCCGCACTATTGTGGCCCTCTCCTCTCCTCTCCTCTCTTCTCTCGTGCTCATCTTCGCATTCTGCCTCATGCTTTTCACTGCATCCTCTCACCTCATCCCCTGCCTCTCTGCTTCCAACTCTGCCTCTGTAATTTCCCCCCTGCATTCTCTCACCTCCGCCCGTGCCTCCCAAACCCCCCCCTGCCTCTGTACTTCAACCCCTTGCCTCCCCCCCTCCCACCCACCCCCTCCCCCCCCACCAGCTACCGCATGCTGTCACTGGCGGACCCCACGGGGCGGCGCACAGCAGCAGCAGCGCTGCGTAACTGCTGCTACATGCTGCCGCTGGGACTCGCTGCCGTCTCTCGTGCGCCCTCCCTGCCCTCCCTACCGTCCCTACCCCTCCACCCATTCATGGTCCCATTTCCTTGACCCTTTAACTTTTCCACTGGCTCCGCGCTTGCCTTCCCTCTCATCTCATCACTTCGGCCCATCCGTGTCTCTGCCCATGCCATCTCGGTCTTTGCACTCCCCCACTCTCCCCACCTGCATGCCCACTCCTTCTCTCACCTCCTTTCCCCAACCTTGCTCTCAATACCTCAGATGCTTATCCCTCACCCTTCTCATCCCTCGACCTTCTCACTCCATACCTCCTTCCCTCTGCTCAACCCCACCTCTTCACCCCCTTCCCTGACAGTGGGGTGCACGACAGCACCGTTCCTATGGGAGAACGTGCTGCTAACGGGGGCGTTCACAGCAGCAGCAGTGCCCTTCTATCGCAACCCCTCGTCAGCATCAGCCAGGCAGCTGTTCCGTGCCAGCCTGCTCTTCCTGCCCGCCCTCATGGCCGCCATGCTGCTGCACCGCCTCCCCCACCAACCCCTCCCCACCCATGCTCTCTCCCCCGCCCCCGCGCCCGCACTCACCCTTGTGCCGCTTCCCTCCCACGCTCCTGCAGTGATGGCAGGTGCAGGCGAGAGTAGGGTAGGGGGAGCAGCAGCGGGAGAGCAGGGGGGGAGGGAGGAGGTGGGGCGGAAGGCATGGGGAGAGACCGGGGCGAGGAGGGCGTGGGAGGAGGCAGCAGAGAGTGGCGAGAGGGGTGAGGGCAGGAGGAGGGTGAGTCTTCCTCCAGTGGCGTATTACTCTGCTGCTCCCTTTCCCTTCCTCCCCGTGCCCCACTACGCATGACCCTCGCCTCGTGCACGTGGGGGGGGAGGGGTGGTGATAGTCACACCTGCATGCACATGACATGCAATGCGTACCTGAAGCATGGCTCCGCATGCACCTACAGCTTACCCTGTGTCAATGCCACCCTTGAAGTTGGTGCAGTGATGTGATGAACACATTGCAAGTTGCTTGACCGTCATGACATCCTTAGATCCACGATGTGGAGTTGAAAACCAGACCACGCTTGTACCGGTATCTTCAGGTTCAGGGCGTGTTCCTACTACTGCTCCTTACGGTATTAGACCTGTTACGAATAGTAAAAGATGAAGGGTTATTGTGCACTCCTGACAGTAGCAATCGAGGCACGCAATACCGAGTCTGAAGACGAAAATGCGGAAGTGATGCGAAGGGTCGTACGGTTATGAAGCATTTGGACCGTCAGGGCAGACAGCATCAGGCAGCAGCAGTGGCGAGGATTCTGCCCAGGCAGTTCGTAACCGTCTGGAGTCGCACGGTTGAGTTTCGCTGCAATAAGGGAATGTACCCCTTAGAGTACATGGCTAGCTAGGTCGCTTCGTATTCCACCCTGTACTCTTTTTTATATTACAGTATCTGTATGTTTTCAATCATCTCAATCATTCTACATTCACTTTGAATTGAGGTCAAGGGCCCACCACTACCAATCAACTCTGTGCGAACCTTCCTGAGGTGATCCTAGGGATGATCAACATATGATCGCAGCATGGTAGGAGAGCGACTCGGGAATCCTTCGCACTGCCACCTCCGAAAACTTCGACGAACGGAAAGTGGCGTCCGGCACACGCTCGCGTGTGAGAATGGCCGGAGGATCTGGTGGTCAGACAAATCTGACGGCTGAAGCGCAGCCCAACCCGGCTGCGACAAGCGAGGAAACGACGACGATTGGAACCGCCGTCCTCGCACAACTGCTTCAGCGATTCACCAGCTTGGAGCAAGGACTCCAAACATTGCGGAATGGCGATGAAGGAACATCTTCTCAACCCTCTCAACCGGCCTCGAACTGCCACAATACCGCCCTGCACACCTTCTCCCTCGACACAAATGGCTCAACTCCCAAAACTCGTCCCAACGAAGAAGCAGTTCTCTTTGCGCAATCAAGGTTTTTGAGCATATCTAAAATAAAGACAAGTGTGTGTTTTGACAGCTGAGACTTCTATACGTGGAGCTTCGAGCTGGAGCTGCTGCTGAAAAACGCACAGATATTCCACTATTTCGACGGGAGCTACTCGGGACCCGATGAGGATACCGCTGACGTCCCGGCGCAGTAATACAATGAGTCGTTAATGGCGTACTGCGTCTTCCTACGGAACATGTCGCTGGCGGAGCAGTTGAGCATTCGATCGTACAAGACATCACCTGCTCCAGCCCTCGACGCTTGGCGCCACCTGAACGACGTGTACCAACCGAAAGATTTGGTTTCATCGAGCCGCCTACTCCAGCAGCTACTGGAGACAAATGTGAGAATAACAAACGAGAATGAATGTGTTAGAATATTGACCGAATAAATGAAACAGGAAAAGCAAGCAGGTGGGTACAAGTAGGAAACCTAAAAGTGTTGTACCTTGTAAGAACTACCCCACTACAGCCTAGATAGACTATAGCATATATGTTTGACACACCCCCATAGGCAAAGTGGGGGAGAACAAGAGGTCACAAGACCAGTCAAGAAAGGCAAAGCAAGCTCAGGGTGGATCATAAAGTCACCACACAGTCTGAGCACAACAAATGGCCACAAGGCCAATTCACATGCAGAGTTATATAAAGGAGAACAAACAATACAGTGAACACAACCTAGCAAGTGTAAGCATGCAGGTATACGAATATAGAGTAAAGTACAAGCAGAGTCAAGAAGTAAGCAAGTGAGGCACAGTAGGTACAAGGTGTTAGATACTAGCGAGAATGACGAGAATGATTTACTAGGAAGGGGTGAAGGGTACAAGTACAATGTCGAGAGAAATTGTATACCCCCTAAGGCTAAACCCACTATAGCCTAGACAACTGTAAACACATAAACACATATGTTTGACACACCCCCATAGGCGAAGTGGGGGATAGCCAGAGCAAGCAATGGTCACAAGACCAGTCAAGAGAAGAAGTAAAGCAAAGCAAGCTCAGGGTGAATCACAAAGTCACCACACAGTCCGAGCACAAGCAAAGGGCCACAAGGCCAGTTCACATGCAGAGTTATATAAAGAGAACAAACAATACAGTGATCATACCCTAGCAACTGCAAGCATGCAGGTATATGTATAGATAACAGTACAGGCAGAGTCAGGCAGTAAGTAAGTGAGGCAAAGTAGGCACAAGGCCTAACACAGTAGAGAAGCGCTGATGATCACCAGGAGGAAGTGCCTTGGTGAAGACATCAACAGTGTTGGCCCGAGTGGCCACGTACACAAGACGAAGCTGACCACGCTGCTGCAACTCTCGAGCAAGGAAGTATCGCAGAGCGATGTGCTTCATTCTGTGCTCCAGTCTGTGCTCCTGACACAAGGCTATCATTGCCTTGTTGTCTACGTACAGGACTGGAGGCGAACGAGGCTGCTCTCCCAAGTCGGTCAGCAAGTAGGTGAGCCAGCGTAGCTCCTGAGCAGCCATGGCTCTGGCGTAGATCTCAGCCTCACAGCTGGAGCTGAGAACTGAAGACGAGCAGGTAGACCGCCAAGAAACCGAGCCGGACCCAAGGCTGAAGGTGTAACCATGCGACGACCGCTGCGTAGCTGAGTCGTCAACCCAGGAGGCGTCTGCGTGACCAGTGAGGACAACTGGACCCCGTCCTCCAAGCACAAGCCCCAAGCCCGACGTACTGCACAGGTAACGCAGTACCCTCTTTGCAGCATCCCAGTGCACCTTTCGGTGCCTACCGGGAGCCACATAGCGAGCCAGAAGGCTAAGAGGGTACGCGAGGTCAGGTCGTGTGCAAGTCATCAGGTACATGAGGCAACCCACAAGCTCTGGGTACGGACCACTCGGCTCTACGGACTCGTCCGAAGGTGGAGCTGAGAGCGAGTGGCTGGTAGACAGAGGAGTGAGCTGTGGCGAGGAGTACTGGAAGCCGAAGCGCTGAAGGACCTGGTGCACCATGTGTGACTGAGTTGGTGTGATGGTGCGCTGTGCTCTGTCCCGGGTGATCTGCAGGCCAAGATAGCTGCGCACTTCACCCAGGTCAGTACAGGTATGTCTCTTCTGCAGCTCGGACTTCACTAGGGTCAGTGCCTCAGTGTCAGCCGTGGCAAAGACGAGGTCGTCGACGTACACTAGGACGTAGAAGGGCAGCAGCGAGGTGTCGGTGCGAAGAAACAGCGACGGGTCTGCTGTAGAAGGAACAACCCAAGAGCCGCAAGTGTAGTCCTGAGCGTGTCGTGCCACTCGCGAGGCGCCTGGCGGAAACCGTAGACTGGCCGGCGGAGGCTCCACTGGGTACCTGTTGGAAACGACCCAGTGAAACCAGGTGGTCGGCGCAGCCAGATCTCCTCGTGCAGGTTGCCCTGCAGGAAGGCTGTACTGAAGTCCAGGGAGTGCAACTCGTAGTCACGCTGAGCAGCGACGTGCAGCAGCACCCGAAGAGTAGTCATCTTCGGGGTGGGGGAGAAGGTCTGGAAGTAGTCAACTCCCTGTCGCAGGCTGAAACCTCGAGCAACGTAACGCGCCTTGAAGGCAGGCGGAGAACCCGGCGGCCGCTTCACCCTGAAGATCCACATGCCATCGACTATGTTCACCCTAGGTGGGGGAACCTCGTCGACGTAAGTGCCTGTGGACTTCCAGGATGCCATCTTGGCATCCATAGCTGCCTGCCACTGAGAAGAGTAAGGACCCGTAATCGCCTCTGCGTAAGAGCGCGGGGTCGGGATGTCTGGAGCATCCGGGTCTCCCTCAGGGGCAAGCAGCAAGGAAGCGAACCGAGGTACAGCAGCTGCAAGACACTCAAAGTCCTCCTTCCTGTCCTCAAGGACGTCCGTGCCAAGAGCACACTCACCCCCGACGGACGGAGGACTGGCAGGCACAGACTCAGCAACAAGAGCAGAGGCGTAGTCGAGACGGCAGGCAGCAGCAAAGTCAAGTAGCTCAGCAACGAGAGCAGAAGCAGCAACAGACTCAAAGGACGGGTCAGTGACAGCAGTGGCAAGGAGACGAGTGACAGTGGGACTGGCAGCACGCGCTCGGTCAGACTCAGGGTCAGGGACCTCAGGAAGAGGGGACTCAGGAGGAGCAGGCACAGGAACACGCAGTGGAACAGAGGAAGGACGGATTGCCATGGTGTGCGTGCCTGGGACAGGAGGAGGACGCAAACGAGGAGCGTGACGAGCAGTGCGAACAGGCGAGACAGGACGAGACGCAGGCTCACGACGCTCTGTAAGACCTCCAGACTGCTCAGTGTAAGGAGAGGGAACAGGCAGTGGGGAGGCTGGCTGTAACGGCGGCTGCGACTGGTCAGGCAGTGGACACACGAAGGGAGGAGGAAGACCAGTAGAAGACGGGACACCAAGAACCTGCTGAAGCAGAGGAACGAAGTACGGGCGCGGCCGCACAGTGCCTCCAGCACCTCCAGCTCCAGGGTCAACAGCTCCAGCTCCTGCAGCTCCAGTGCCTCCTGCGCCAGGGCCTCCAACTCCAGCTACACCAGCTCCAGCGCCTCCGGCGCCAGTTGCTCCAGGCTCCGTAGGGTCTCCAGCTCCAGTAGTAACAGCAGCACCTCCAGCTCCAGCGTCTCCAGGCTCGCCAGTCCCAGGAGCTCCACTCCGACGGTGTGGGCGCTGAACAAGCCACTCACGCAGCTGCTGCAAGGACAGTCGCGCAGAAGCACCAGCAGGACCTCCAGACGAAGCAGCACCCCGAGGCTCAGCACCCCCAGACTCCGCACCTTCGGACTCATCACCCCCAGGCTCCGCACCCTCCGACTCAGCACCCCCAGGCTCAACACCCTCAGGCTCATCACCCCCAGACACAGCACCCTCAGACCCCGCACCCACCGGCTCCGCAAC